CTTACCCGACCGGTTTTCTTTTTTACGCTGCTATCACTTTCACTTGACATCTGTTAACCAGCCACCACTGCTGTGAAAGAGTCCCACAGAATAACACCAGTCGGATGGCAAAGTCGAATGAGTTCACGCTGAACACAGAAGGCTAAATGCAGTAATTTTCATTCATCAAAGACAATCGGATCGAAGCCGAAGGTTCCCCCTCGATCAGCAATTTTCTGGAATGTGCCGTGCGTAAGACTCCCGCTCAGAATCTGCGCGGCTTTCCAAAGCTAAACTGGTAGGCTGCGGAACTGAAGCCAGCCAGAATTCACAAGATGATGTTCTATCCCCATAAGCTAGGTGCATAAGGAAAAAAGGATTTGAATCAGTTAACAATAGGCAGATACAGTCCTAGGATTCGATCCTTAGATCACATTAACAGTAGCCACTAGCTGGCGCTACATCTAGAACAAGTTTTTGTTGACAAATCCACTTTTTACAAGTGGGTATGCCGTGGTGGCGGCGCCGCCCGTCAATTGCCACACTCTCCAGCCATTGTTGCTCTTGTTTTTCGTAAACAAACAAAAAGCAGTCGCTTCAGTGCGGTACGTTGCTAGAATTTATGTCGGGCAAGTCCATACTTTCTTCAAAATACAGCTCATTCCCCAGCTTTTGACTTTAGACATCTTCAGACAAAGCTTTTATTCAGTTTTTTGTTATTTTTGAGGAGAGGTTCATAAATACGGGTATTCAACATTTGAAGAGCCAGAGCCCCGAGATAGAAGTGCTGGATGACTCACCTGTTTTAAATGAGCGGAGTGAACGAGACGATGGAGGGGACAACCAGGCGTGTGACTGTTTTCTGATCGATCGTATCTACATAGTGCCGAGCAAAGTACGTGCCGACCTTTCCGAATGTATACACACAGACACATTCGCCTACACTCTTTCAACAGAGCGCTGGAGCCATCAGTTGGGTATCACTTGTTCGCTGGCAATCAGTAGTAATAACAGTAGCGAAGTAGAACTTTTGTAATAATGGGTACCGTGGATGGAACATATTTTTAGCCATATGTGGCGGACGCGGTGTAGCACATGCGTGGTCCGCGGATCGAAACCCGAGCCGGTATCCGTTTTTCCCGAACATGCCTTCCATCCCTCCAGGATTGGATAATTGGTTCTCGAGTCTTCTGGGACGATGGAAGCGCCGAATCGTGCATCGGCTAGCCTTCAAAAGTCACTGTATGGGCCACACATGCTTCCAAAACGCAATCGCAATCCTGAGTAGAACTCGGACTTGGCGCAACCCAGAAGGAAATTATTAACCGCTGAAGGATTTCTTTTTCCATCCTTAACATTTCCAGTCCTGCTTCTAAGAATGTAAGGTAAAGGGGATGTGTTCAAGACGTTTAAAAGAAAAACTCATGAGACTCATGAGAAAAAGGAGAATATGTCCTATTTCGTTATCGGTCATTGGTATGATTATCATGGGAGTGGCTAAAAGTAAGGGTGAGTGGGTCAGCAATGGAGTGGAGGTATGAAGCTTATTTTATCTGAAAGGTAAGGATGACAGGGAGGAGGAAAACGAGAAAGAATAGCCAATATTTCAACTTCGAAACCATAAGATGATGAAGAGCCGAGCGACTGAAGTGCTTCTGGCCACCACTAGGCCCACGCTGGAGAACCGAATCTGCAAATGAGGTGGAACTGTTGCAATATAAGTACAAGTCTTTACTGAATGCCATCGCGTAATGAAATCATTTTCAGATTTATTTCGCTTTTTGTCAGATAAATATCGTTAACGAGAATGTTTGCGACCATTGTTTTTTCTACAGAAGAGCGTGTTCCTGAAAGGAATGCCGTTAATGAATTGCTGTATCATCTGCCTGTGAACATTTACAGTCAAGCTGAACTATGAACGCCACAATGGTGGAATTGATTGTGCATTAATAATTACAAGCAAATATAAATGATTGAAAATAAATATGGAACAGACTAGACAAAAATAAAGAAAATGATAAGTGCTTCATTTCGAGCAAGTAATCGCAAGCGCTCATAACTTCCAAACAGGGAATTAGAGTATGTACTTTCGGACTTTCTTTTCTACATCTCAACCTATTCCTGTTCTTCTTTGTTTCGCCCCTTCGGACGACCGTCTGCCGCCCTCCTCCCCCCTAGCACTGCCTCGTGGCACGCCGGCCGGCCGACCGGCGGACTATGAAAGCAGCCAATGCGAATTTTGAAAGTTTGTTTACTTAATTTCTGAGTTGCACACCATTATTCATTCTTACACAGGCGTGGATAGAATTTATACATTAAGGTTTTCAATTTTGTTCGAATTTCAGAATTTTGCAGCCTTTTCACGGCTTTAAAGTATTTGTTTTGCTGTTCAGGAGGGATTCAGAAATCGTTTACCGATTCAGCCCCGACACTGCCTTGTGTGGCCTCGCTGTGCATACTGAGATTGTCTGCTTCCGCCTGTAAGATTCGCATTTCAACTTAGCGATTTGTTTATGTATGTAAACAAGCAAATAAATAAATAAATAAACAAATAAATACAAATAAGGGAGGGACCCAAAGAATTCAATTCAAGGAAGCCTTCAGCAATAAATAAATAAACAAGTGTCTATATATGTAGACAGTGTGAGGAAGCTGCCTTGAGTACAAAGGTAGGGCAGAGATGAGGGAAAGGGATGAATACAAGCGGAATGAGATCGTTTCCCTGCCGGAAGCCCTTAGTATCATCATTCCAGGGTCTTCTTGGAAACAACAGACGAGTTAAACGTCATTCTATGGGAAAAATAGGGGATATACCTGTGGATTGGCCGCGTTCAGTTGCTCATTCTCCTGCAACCTCCATATCATCTCCATTTCTTCACGATGATTGAAATCTGAATGACAGGCTTGCAGGATTCGAATGGAAAATTTGTATAAAAATCGAAAAACAAAAGTATAAGTAAAAAATTCGAATCGACAATGAATTCCCGAACCTTCGATGATAAGAGCTGACTGAGCACAAGCACAACAACAAAT